TCATGGTCTCTAGATGAGCCCTGGACGCATTATTTTTACTAAAGATTAATTCTTTAAGAATTCTGCAAATGTTAAAGTGATTATTTGTATAAGACCATTTATTTATTTTTATTAAAGCATAGTTGATGTACAATATTTTGTAAATTACAGCTGTACAAAATAGTGATTAACAATTTTAAAGGTTATACTCCATTTATAGTTATAAAATATGGCTGTGTTCCCCATGTTGTACAAAACATTCTTACAGCTTATTTTATATCTAGTAGTTTGTAGTTCTTAATTCCCTACCTCTATTTTACCCTTCCTCCCTTTCCTCTCCCTACAGGTAACCACTACTTTGTTGTCTACCTGTGAGTCTGCTGTTTTTGTTACATTCTTCAGCTTGTTGTATTTTTTAGATATCATACAGTATTTGTCTTTCTCTATCTGACTTATTTCGCTTAACATAGTATCCTCCAAGTCTATCCACGTTGGCTATAAATGGCAAAATTTCCTTCTTTTTATGGCTGAATAATATTTCATTGTATGTATATATAGCATATCTTCTTCGTCCATTCATCAGTTGGTGAACATTTAGTTTGCTTCCATATCTTGGCAATTATAAATAATGCTGCTGTGAGCATTAAGGTACATGTATTCTCTTTGAATTAGTGTTTTTTGTGAGTTTTTTTTTGGGGTATATACCCAGGGGTGGAATTGCTGGGTCATATGGTAGTTCTTTTCTTAGTTTTCTGAGAAACCTCCATACTGTTTTCCACAGTGAAGCAGCAGTTTGCATTCCCATCAACAGTGTATGAGAATTCCCTTTTTCCCACATCTTGCCAACATTTGTTATTTGTGTTCTTGTTGATGATAGCCATTCTGACTGGTGTGAGGTGATATCTCATGGTGGTTTTCATTTGCGTTTCCCTAATGGTTAGTGATACTGAGCATCTTTTCATGTACCTGTTGACCATCTGAGTTTTCTCTTTGGAAAAAATGTCTATTCAGGTCTTCTGCCCATTTTATTTTATTTTTTTTTTATGTTGTGTTATATGAATTGTTAATATATGTTGGATATTAACCCTTTATCAGTCAAATCCCTTGCAAATATGTTCTCCTTTTCAGTAGGTTGTCATTTCATTTTGTCAGTGGTTTCCTTTGCTGTGGAAAAGCTTTTAAATTTAATTAGGTCCCATTTGTTTATTTTTGCTTTTATTTCCTGTGCTTTAGGAGGTTAGATCCAAAAAATATTGCTAGTA